GTTGCAGGGACGGAATAGGGTAATGGGCCACGAACACCCTTGATATGAACACTGGGGCCTGGGAGCTGCCCCAACAAGGCCCTGCTGTAGGTAGAAGAGGAGCAGCACCTTCTGACAGGAGCACGGCCCAGGAGCTGAGAGGGATAGGAGGGGTAAAACTGCACAAGAGGAGATGGAAGACAGGCCAGGAAACTTTGCAGTAGAGAGCAGAGACAGCCCTGCCCTGAGAAGGGCCAGTGGTCCACTTGGGCCATGTGGAATCTGCAGGAGCCCCACCAGCTGGAACAGGAGAAGTGTAAGTCAGGCAGGGCCTCCAAAGCCAGGCAAAGGGTTCTGGCTTCACTGATTGCAACTGAGCAGCAGACAACACTTCTGGGATAAGGGAGAGTAGGGTACTAAGCTCCAAGAAGGTTCTTTGGGTGGTTCTGAGGGGAATTCCCCAGAGGGGAGAATGGCTGTGGGGGGAGGGGGGCAGATCCCTATTTGTTGTTGCTGCAGATTAATTCCTCCCCTTGAGTTGAGATTCATCCCCTGCAGCTTCTGCCCATCCGTTCTGGTTCTACCTTTGCTGGAGCTGCTATATACGAATCCACCTTCCCTATGGCCGGTGGCCTTTCAGATACTGGGCCATGCTCTTCCCTCCAGTGTTCTCTTGCCCGGCCCCAGTAGAGTAGCCTGCGTGGGTTGCAGTATCCTGCATAGGAAACGATACGTAGCCTCCCATCCTCTCCATGGCTGCTTTTCAGATAAAGACAAAATGTCAACACTGGCCTCAAATTTGGGGCCCAGAACAGAAAAGCACAACACAGATGTGGCATTATAGAAGAATGTTCTTTATGCAGAAGCTGGTTTCAAAACTGTACCTACATCCGGGGCTCTGAAGAGTCAATGCCATCATGCGGACAGTTAGATTCTTTTCTTCTGTCGTTGTTGCTAATTATTATAAATATTATAAATATGAGAGTCTGTCCAAAGGTATGACTATGACGAGGGTTCCAGTTCATACATGCATGGCTTTGCTACAAACACGTATGTTTAGACATGTCTCTGTGACCATGCAGGCAGGTTCTCTCTGTAATGC